CCAATTAAACACCACACTGCATCATGCGTCCAATATTTATTTAAGTTGAATTCAATTGAACATTTATATCGATTTGTAATTCATGCTCGAGTCGTAGGTTGTATTGTTTTCGAGTTGCTTCAATATTCAATAGTACTCTCTGTGACTTGAACCAAATTGAAAATGAATATCATTTTCTTTTAGTCTGTACATGTTTTAGAAATCCCAAAGACAAGTACTTACCGTATTTCTGTTAAAACCCACCTACTTTTAATAAGTTCATTGACTTAATGAAATCAGAAAATAACAATATTTTGATGCGGCTTGCAGCTTTTGTATTTCAAGCCCTATAGTTAAGGAGCGATATTACAGAATTGTTGTAATATTAATATGATGATTGTAAATGTACATATGTAGTATTATTTTGTTTTCAAATAAGCAAGCTGTACAACTTTTTAGGGGCCTATGGCCTCGAATAAGTGAATAAAGACTCACTATATAAAACAATATTCAGATATTTTCGGCGCATACAATTTTTACTAAGGTGTTCATTTATTTTAGCATGAAGAGTTTCAATTGTTTTATTTTTAAATATGCTTCTGGTATTTTTAAAGTTATTTTTATATGCTGGTTGTTGGCTGTAGCCATATATCACTCTCTTTATGTACCATCTGCACTAACTCACCAGATGCTACTCCGACAATTTAAAATGTTAGCAATGCTTCCATCCCAACAACCGAATTTCACAAGATTTCAAGATAGTGAGTACATCTCTATATACTTTATGAATGTGTTATTTATGTATATTCACCATATGCCCAGTTTTTGTCCATGTACATTTTCCCATTTTGTAAAAATTATCTGTAATGTTTAACATGGTCATCAATTGTTCACTGGTTATTATTTTCGTGACCTGGGTCGAGCCATTGCACTAGAGCGCGCTCGTTCCATTAGAGAACGGTTTTAGCGATCAGGTAACCATGTCCATGTGTTTGTTCATAACATAAAGTATAGTGCTGGGTGATACCTCACTGGCAGTATTTGCATAACAAATTGGCTTGTTGACATAATATGTCGGACGTTGACATAATATGTCGTATCGATGTTGATACACATATTCTGTTTCAAGGTGCGACAAAGACAGAGAAACGTGAATACAGAAAGTTCGAAATGAAGCGACAATGTTAAATGACAATTTCAAAAATGGAATCGTTACAGTGGTATCGTATACATGTATCAGAGTTGGAGAACTGTGAATATATGCACAAACATAATTCATGTAACGACCCTCCCTTCAGTGGTGAGGGACTACGATATAACACACACAAGTAGTGTCTTACGTTTACAAAACAACACGTGAATCTCTGTTTAACATAGCCAACGGTACGTGCATTTTTTATATCCCGTCAGTAAACGAATGCTATCACGAGTGTGTTGTTATAGCTGTTTAAAAACAAGAGGATTTGAATAAATTAGTTGTGCAAAAAGCCATCTACTGAATTGTTCATGTTGAAACAGTCTTCGTATATCAGATACTTGTATATGTATATGTATACAGTATGGCTGAAATGGTAAACATTTTGTAATTGATTATCAGTGCATCCACGGCCAAATATAAAAACACGTCTTACGTTGGATTACGGAAACTAGTTTTCGACCGTCACAACTATTGAAAATATCATCGCAACTATTGAAAATAGAACGAGCAAATCTACAGTTAGTAAAGTCGCTAAACCCAGGGAAATCTGGCGTTTTATCGTTTACGCTGTGTTGATCACATGGCATGGTCACCTGATCGCGACGACAGCTCGAGCTAGGTCTGTTTGATTTTCTTTGATAAGCACAATTAGCTGAATTCAAAACACCTGAACATGTAAAATGATAACAAAATGTATTTGCCACATTCGTGAACTTAAAAGCTAGTGAAATTGTTCGAAACATCAAAATAGTTAAATTAAATTCCAGTGAAAATAAATGGGTTTACCAAAATAATAAAAGTAATAATATTTTGGAGGGATTTATGGAATCAAAATATTAAAATAAATTTGATAAATAAATTAATATTTTTATTTGCAGATCTAATGAATTCTACATCTATATGCTGCGATACTCAGGTTCACGTCCAGCAGCTTCGAATTGTACTACACATCTTATTCATAATAATAGCTTCTGGTATATTGATCGTTATGAGGCACTTCACTGAATTACGTTACTATGACTACAAGTTTTTACTACGTTATCCAGGACACGCGTTCAAATGGTCAATATCAGGAATACTTATAGTGGTATCATTCTTTAGTGTGGCAGAAGGAATCCTTACTGATTTATCAAGAAATGACGTCACCAACCCATACTTGTATATTCCACAAATGTTGTCTTTATTGGGACTGATGATAAGTTTAATGTATTACCATCATATGGAGTACTGGGATCGACCTCATCTTGTCTGGTTGTTGTTACTTTACTGGATCATGGCTATTATTGGAGAAGTATTAGCAATATTTAGAGTGTCACAGTCGATTGGTTTTAATTACAGTATTTTGCGATTAGATATTGGGATTATTACTACTATTCTATATTCTTGTTGTGCAGCAGTTGAAATTAATGTGCTTCATAAAAAGGTATGCATTCGTTTATGATCACTACAAAGGATATTGAATTATGTACTTCAATATAACACACACGAATCTTGTATTATTAGGCCATAGTCTGACATGGTTAATAGCTTATGGTTAATCATGAATAATGACTGTTCGCATAATGTGAGGTTGACAATCATTTGAACTTCACATATAACTTTATTTTAACAGTCTCCCGCTTTTCGCTCTCCGTATCAGTATATGGGACAGAATGCTTTGGTTAAGACGGTTGTAATTCTATGGAATTATTAATTTCATGACAACGACCATTCATTCGAGAACAGACAAAAATTAATCAATTTCGGCTTTTTATATTTAAAGTACTATGCAGAGACCTGATTACTAATAGGGTATATTTTACGTATTAGTCGCCTACTTTCCATAATTAATTAATTTTCGGGTTTTACACTGATATCGCAAGTATTAATTATCTTATTTCAATTAAACTAGGTACATATTCACTGATTCTCGATACATATATACTCTAACACAAAGTGATGATCCAATTAGTTTTGCGTTATATATACAATATACAGACCTACATGTATGCAGAATAATTGCTTAATTTCTATAATATCCCATTTGATTCATCGGGGTAAACCACAGACATGAATATTGATTATCGATTATAGCCAATTTCTGATATTTAAAAAAATCAGATTTAAATTGAATTCATCATAGAGGTGCTCTGGAATCAATTAGACTAAAAACCACGCATGAAAAATCAAATGTATTTTCTGTATGTATTATAAATGTTGATAATGTGAGTCACATTGTTTTCGTGTTGTGCATCTCAATAGCAGATCTCAAATAGCTTTTTTGACTGCCGTGTGCGAAGCACAAATTGGGAGTCTTTGCAGTTAGTGTGTGTCCGTCTGTTCCACTGATATCTCAAGAACCATACATCAGTTTTTGATGAAACTTGATGCATAGATGCTCTGGGCAGATTTGATTAGATTTTGGTAAAAATCCATGGATATTAATTACCTAATTTGCATGATAATTAGCTGATTTTTAGCTGTTATATGACTGTTCCACTGATATCTAAGGAACTCACTCATTGGATTTTGATGAAACTTGGCACACAGATGCTCCAAACTAATGCGCAGATTTGATTAGTTTTGGGTAAAAATCTGTGCAATATTAATTACTTAATTTGCATAATGATTAATCAATTTTCGGCTTTTCCACTGATATCTCAAGTACTAATCATCACATTTCAATAACACTTGGTACATAGATGTCATAGGACACTGCACAAACCTGATAGTTTTTAGGGTAATATCAGTATATATTAATTAGCTAATTTGCATAATTAATTAATTATCAGCTTTTGATATTTCAAGTAGTAATCATCACATTACAATGACACTTGGTATATAGATGTCATAGGACACTGCACAGACCTGATACTAGTAGTTGTTAGGGTAATACGAGTACATATTAATTACCTAATTAGCATAATTAATTATTTTTCAGCTTTTAATATTTCAAGTAGTAATCATCACATTTCAATGGAATTTGGTACATAGATGTCATAGGACACTGCACAAACCTGATAGTTTTTAGGGTAATATCAGTATATATTAATTAGCTAATTTGCATAATTAATTAATTTTCAGCTTTTGATATTTCAAGTAGTAATCATCACATTTCAATGACACTTGGTACATAGATGTCATAGGACACTGCACAGACCTGATAGTTTTTAGGGTAATATGAGTACATATTAATTACCTAATTTGTATAATTAATTAATTTTCAGCTTTTGATATTTCAAGTAGTAATCACAATTCAATGAAATTTGGTACATAGATGTCATAGGCCACTGCACAGACCTGATAGTTTTTAGGGTAATATGAGTACATATTAATTACCTAATTTGTATAATTAATTAATTTTCAGCTTTTGATATTTCAAGTAGTAATCACAATTCAATGAAATTTGGTACATAGATGTCATAGGCCACTGCACAGACCTGATATTTTTAGGGTAATATCAGTATATATTAATTAGCTAATTTTCATAATTAATTAATTATCAGCTTTTGATATTTCAAGTAGTAATCATCACATTTCAATAAAACTTGGTACATAGATGTCATAGGACACTGCACAGACCTGATAGTTTTTAGGGTAATATGAGTACATATTAATTACCTAATTTGCATAATTAATTAATTTTCAGCTTTTGATATATCAAGGAGTAATCATCATATTTCAATGAGACTTGCTACATAGATCTTCTAGGATTATGCAGACACCTGATTAGTTTTAATTGGATATTAAATACCTAATTTGCATAATGTTCCACTGATATATAAAGAACCACAAATTGAATTTTAATGAAACTTTTAAAGAGAACTATGCAGAAACCCGATTAGTTTTTGGTAAATATTTATGCTTATTAATCACCTAATTAACATAATTAATTAACACTGATATCTCAATTACTGATCATCACATTTGAATAAAATTTGGTACATAAATGCTCTAGGACAATAGACAGGCATGATTAATTTTGATTAATATTAATTCTCTAATTAGCATAATAATTCATAATTTTGTTCTGTTCTGTTCATATTAGTTACCCGATTTACATAATTAGTTTTCAGCTTTTCCATCAATATCTCATGTACAAGTAATTTTGAATTAATTTTTAATGTGTCTTCAATACTCTCAGCACACGGGAGTTCTTTCTAAGCTTTCTTTGATTGATTTTGTTTGTAAATATTTTGGTCCGTTTTCATAGCTACGTATCACATTTGCGGAGTTTTGGCATTTATATCTGATTAATATAACATATTTGAAAAATTTCTTCTGTGGCGGATACTGATTCAGAACCCTCAACCACGCCACGCTTCGAGAATAAATATTAATGAGCTTGGGCAAACATGTAAATATTATTTTATTCAAGCCAAAATATTATGAAAGGGGAAAGCATGTCAATAATATATAATCTGGTCTTAAGTATTTTAATTAAACAAAAACACGTAATTGAAAGCAATATGGCTGTTTAAATGTATAATATAACATGTATAGTCTAACTGGAGGCAAACTTGTTTTAAAAAATGTTTTAAAATTCATAAAAACAACAATAACAAAATTGTGTTGTCAATATTACACAAGTATTAAGATTATTATGAGAGTTCCCTGGTTATTAAAGGGGGTCTTGTATGTTTTCACCCAAATATATCTAACAAATATATGAACATATATCACAATTCTATTTTGGTTTGGATCACATCTAGTATTTGTAAACACCAGACTAAAGTTTGATTTAGTTTAAATATTTGAAAGGAATAATTTGTTATGATTAGTTGTATTTTCTTCAAGTACTGAACATTTGTTTTGTAAGTAAAATCAAAATTTTCAAATATTGGCATACTAATTGATTGCTGAATGTATTACTTAAACTTGGGTTACTATTATTTTAATTTATTTCATATTTTATCTGTGTAATCAGTGGTTACACAAGGAATTATAAAATGAATGTACAATCATATTACCATACTAAAAGGCAATGTTAGCAACCGTATGTATTGTTGAAACAATACGTAACATTGTTTTTCAATCGGCTAAAGCTTTGTATTGGGTTACCAAAGAAGAAGTGTATGTTTAAATCTTTTTCAGTAACCGTGGATAAAAGAACGGGTAGTTAGTGACGTTATGTCACTGAACTTCTGCTGCGTTAATTAGTTGAATATATATTGTGATATAGCAGATGTTTAATGCTACCCTGTTGTGTTTAGTAATACGATTCATATATATATATAATGTTATTTGTTATATTTCATTTAGTTCATTATTTACATATAAATAATATTGCTATTTTTCACATATATGTACATCCAGTGTTGAGCTTTTGTTAATCTATCCTGGTATAACATGGATGGAAGAAGCACAGCGTTATCGGAAATGTAGTAGTGCCGATAACATAAGTGATAACATATTTGTTACAACTGGCATGTTGGTACACTTAGTTCATCGAAACAGTACATTGCTATAACACAATAAGTCTAACCTTAACTGATTTATTGGAACTAAAATTGAATACAACTACTCCGTCTTCACCAATTCACTGTATTTGATACACTTACTTTGTGTACACAGATTGTTTGCCCATTCTCAGAAGAAAAAAGATTTCCGAAGGATTTCGTGAAAACAAATTTATATTACATGCAGTCATATGTAAACATTCTATCAAATGCAACTATATGGTGGTTAAACTGGTTAGTGTCTCTATCGCGTCGACAAACAATTGTGTTGGACGACCTGGGATGCTTGCCTGGAGAGTTTGAAGGAAAACGTATGATAGAAGCATTTAACAAAGTTTACAGATATGAACAGGTAGGAATGTTCAAGCCTAATATTTAGCGTGTAATCTGCCTGATACGTTATTGTTTGCAATGCATTTATGTCAAGATATCAGTTCAAAAATGGCATGTTATAGTCCACAAATGGCCACGTGAAACCTGATTGAATAAGTTGGTCGACATTTTCTAATTCTACACCTATTCATAATATATTGAGAACCATTAAACCTTGTAATTGTATATACAATATTAATAGTAACGAAACATTCTACTTTTGTACGTGTTCAATTTTCCTAAAATGTAATTGTTCGTTACAGCAAAATTGTGGCAAACGGGTACCTTCACTTTGGAAGGTGTACTGGCGAACTCACTATACCATGATAATTAGTGTGTGTGTGTTACGATCTATTTATTCTGCACTAGCATTTGTCGGTCCAGCTTGTATTGGCAAAATAGTGATGTATGCTACAGAATACTACGCTAATGATATCAAGATATATGTAAGTTGTTCCACATATCTAGTATTATTTAATAGTATGCTAAAGACTTCTATACTAAGCTTCTAATATGTTCCCTTGTAAACCAAATCGATTTAGCGAAGAAACGATGACTTTGCAATTGTCAACATAACTGTGAAAGTGTGAATTCGGTGTGGCCAGGCAAGACTTCATACACGCATTTTCTAAATGGCAATTTCTAACTTTCTTTACAATTTCTTCACGAAACCTATAGTTTTGAAAAACAATCCATAACGCTTGTTATTCAAATTTCAAAAGAAACTTTTCAGATAACACTTGTGTCCCCGACTATTTGCGCATGCGTTTTGGACACATCTTTATGCTTGAAGGCATAAACCCAACCCATTAATCAGTATAATTGTAGTAATAGTTAGCGTGTGTCATTACTAGGCAACCTTTCGTGCCTTACCTCGGCACTCAGCGCGTAATTAAATCGCCAATCAATGTTAGTCTGGCTTTAGAATTAGTTAATCGCCACACGTGGGAAATGGAAAAATGTGGGTTTATATTTTTTAATACATCGGATGAAATTATATATGAGATTTATACTTTTTAAGATATAATCATTTTAGTCCAAAGGTTTGCGATTTTTTCTATTCATTTTATTTTTGCATAAACAGAGACGACGGCCTGAAATTTTGCACGGGGGGGGGGGGCGAGATCTGCTCACCAAACTTACACCGTATGCGCGACCTTGCTTTAAATGTATACCCTCTGAAACGCCTTTTCCTGCATTTTCAGCTTGATTTTGGAGAGGCGGCGCCCCCAACATTTTTCGATGGTCGCCCCCCCCCCCCAACAAAAAGTTTAAATTGGACACAAAATGTTTGTTATTGAAATATTATCTTGTAATTTGACACTTCATCACCAATGTATGTTCCAAAACCAACAAAAACTGAACGATAACCTACCATTTTCCCTTTTCACGCTATAGTCACAATCGCAATTCTGTCTGTTCACAAGCCCAGTAAAAGCTTCAGTATATAGATGTTTAAATTGGCAATTCTACGAACAGCTCAGTCAAGCATGTTGAAACATGTATAATTGTTTGATTTTCAGAGGTACTAGTATTCGAATTTGTTTTGTGTTTAGCATAAAGTGATAAAGTGTTCAAGATTTGTATTTTAATATTGAAAAACGGCTTTTGATATTTGATGTGGGTATTCCCGTTTTGATTTCTTTTGTGAAGAATTAGTAATGTAGAATATTTTTGGCATGGTTTTTTTTATTCATTCTTTGTATACACAATATTTATTATGTGGAAGAGTATGTTAGTATCAAAGGGAAATCAACATAATAAAAAAAAATTATGATGCAATATCATTAATTATTAATAAATAGTCAATTTAGAATCGATGAATTCTGGAATACTCGTTATTAATCTGGCATAATTGACTTTCAAAATGAATAACAATTCTTACAATTTTTTAAATAGAGTTCTCCTTTTGTTACGGTTGAAGAATTTTTCTCGAATGGTTTTATACTTGTTTTTGTGATCTTCACTATTCTCGTGATAAGAAACACACTATATATATACCTGTATGGTATATCTACGATTATTGGCCTGCAACTAAAAACAGCACTTCAGGTAAGCGTGTAACTTATACAATTCATTTTATTGTTCAGACTTGATTTATACGTATAGACGAATGCACTTATCATATTCGAATGAATCTAATTCTAATTCATTGGATATTTTTTTAAAACAGAATCTGGTTTATGAAAAATCCCTACGATTACCACAGCAGTCAGCAGACGATACAACTGTCGGAAAAACTATTAATCACATGTCTGTTGATGTAACTGTAATACAACATTTTGTTACATTGTTTCTTGGTTTTGTGTTGTCAAATCCGATTCAAGTAAGTATATCCAATTTACACTTGTGTATGTTAAAGTTTTCGCGATCGGTCACATATAAACTAATATAGCCGTTTCAGAACTACTTCATTCAGATTAGGATTGATGAATTGATTTTAGTTGATTTTGAGTCAACATTGTCAATAAGGCATAAATGTGAAATATATGTCTGAACTACTAAGGAAAAGCCCAAATGCTCATTGGTATGAGCCATAGGTCGTCTTGAATTTGATACGGATAGGTCAAATTTTACCAAAAATTATCTACATATAAAAAGACTCATTTTTTGTGATATGAGATTGATTGGTTTGATACAGGGGATTACTATTGCAAACCTATTTTACTCCAATTTCTCTATTTCTTAATTAATTAAATTAGTTTATTGTTATATTTAGTTTATTAGTAATCCACACACATTTCGTCTATATTGATACCTGATTCGTTGATTCTTGAATTACCTTAATTTAAAAATCTCCAAGGACCCAGATATATACAGGATACTACGTGCTAGATATGAAATGTATGTTTTGGTTTGGCAAACGTTTCAAAGGTTCACATTTCTTAAATTTGCAATGTACGGGCTCAATGATGTCTCAAACTCGATATTTTTATATTATAATTACCTAGATTTCTATTGTGTTAATTTGGCTACTTCATTTAATGGGAATAGCAGGGGTTGTTGGTATTTGTGTTGGACTTTTGATAATGCCACTTGCATTGAAAGCAGGCCGGATGCAACACAAATTACAGCATCTTAAAATGGTAAGTACGTGCACAAGATATATATTATATTGTGTTGTGAATATTTTTTTGTTTTAATAATAATAGTAACAAAATAATTATAACTGTAATGATAATACAATCATGTATATTTTGGTAATGTATAGAAACATAAGTAAATCATTGCCAAAAAAGTAAGTGACCCCGAGTTTCGAAAATTCACAAGTACATACATGCACAATTTTTCTTCATCAGCATCATTCTGATATTCGTATGAAAAAAACAAATGAGTTATTACAGGGCATTAAGTTGCTGAAGTTAAGTGGGTGGGAGGAATTGTTCGCTTCTAACATTACAAATACCCGGAGTGAAGAAATGAAGCTTACATCAAAAGTAGCCATGTACTTTCTTCTCTCTGGTAATAATTTCATAAATTTCCATAGTTAGTAAACAGCACAAAATTACAAACTAAGTTCCTATTTCATCAATTGTCCATGATGTATTCTTCCAGCTCATTGAATGAGAATTATTTTGTCCACATTATGAGATGGCCAAACCACATAGCTTAATTACGCCTTACTCAGCTAAGCACAAATGAAAATAATATAATTAGAAGGCATTCAAAACAAAGCTGAACCTAATATTATATAAGAAAATACAAACATTCGCCACGTTTTTTAATTGTTTGTATGACATATACCACACTCACTCGATACTCACATGTGATACTAAGTTTTAAAAAATTCCATTCATTGCCCGGCGTAGTAACAATCTCACTAATCTAAATTTTTATTTTTATTAAGGGGTATTGTCGCAGGGACTACCATGGGTTATAACATTGACAGTAAGTTTATGGCCTCCATAATAATAAACATAATAAAGTGAATGACAAAGTTTATTTTATTTCGAGGTAAGGCACTTCAGCCTGTTTCTAAAAAAAATAATTGGATAGAATGCCATAAATTAAAGATGAACTACATACATCGAATGTGACAACACGATATAGCAATTGACCATAATATAATATATCAGTTTTTCTGTATTAACAGATGTTTGCTGTATACTCACGACTCAACACAGAACCTCTAACACCAGACGTAGTTTTTACGGCACTAGCACTGACAAACTTACTAATTCAACCACTCTCTGTCATGCCACCGTTTGCTAAATACGCAATTGAAGTGGTAACTGCTACTAAAAGGCTTGCACATTTTCTGTCAGTGGAGGAAATAGAAAGATATGCTGAGCACAGGTCTATAGCGGACGGTTGTATGGATAGCGGTTGCCTTCATGAACTATCAGAGGTATGAATTTAATTTTAACTGATTTGATCCGGTACATTAAAGTTATCAATGTATAACTGAAGATAATTGTGAATACCAAATTTGAATAGCATTTATTCCAAATATCGTAAAGTTAGACATATAAATATGTTTCATTACTGTTATTCAATGTAATTTAATTTAATTTTACAGGAATATGAAATGAATACAATTGAAATGAAGCCAACCACTCCATTAGTGCAACGTGTACAGCAGCACAATTATCAGACAACACATGAAATCAATCAACTGCCAACCACTGCTACTGCTGGACACATAGCAACAGATGTTGCAATAGAAGTGAGTGATATACTTTTATATGTCATACATTGTATGTATTTTTTTTATAATACGCCACAATCAGTCAATCAAATTTGCTAATTTAGTGACCAGTATGTAAAAGGACGGTGGTCGTCACGCCGCGTCCTGTTCGATATGGGACTCATAGCGACGTATACAACGCGTGTAAAATACATTGTTTATTTACATGAAATTCGAACACCAGCTGCACGACGACCACCGCCCTTTAACTTCTCAGCAGTCAAAGACATCATACTTGTTCAATAGTGTTGTATTTAGGTCCTAGTATCCCTATAACTAAGTATCATAAATGTGACAATAATTTTGATAAACAATATTGAATATAAAACAACCGGGTAATTGTGTTGAAAAATACTTGTGAATGGAGACAATTTTGGATGTTGTCATGGAAGACAGGAATCTTGAATTTCAGCCTTTTTGAAACAGTTTGTTTTATTTTGTATATAATACAAATATTGACACAGTCATGGTCGGAAACTTGATATCATGAATTAGCTATAACCACACGAAATAACATATAATCGCACGCACTGAGAAGCGATATATATCATTTTCCAACAGTTTAAAATAAAACCATAATTCATGTGTTTGTGTTTAGATAGTTAATGGATATTTTTCCTGGGGGAGAAGTACTTATGAAGCTGTTTTGAATAATATTAATGTCAAAATTAAAACAGGTAATATATTATAATTATTATACTTCACACTTCAACGTTAACAGTTCATTGTAAACATAAATTAAAGTGCATGTCGCGTGGACAGAATGTCAGTAGTGCAAATTGTTTGTCCGTCCACTGCTTTGCGTTCTTGGATTTTATTTATACTACCGCAATTAGCTATTATCTAATATGGAGTATTGCACTAGACTCGGGGGGAATGCGTACATAACGGTTTGGATCAATTAATGATTAAATATAATGATTAAATTTAGTTTATTTGGAACGGATGCCTATTAACTTGACAAATATGTCGATCAATAATCACACCCTCTCCATCTCCGGTGAAAATGGCTTATTTTTATTGAGAATGTTGATAATCATTATCATGTGTAGTGCGTACAATTTATAAGCATGGTCACTATTATAACGTCTACGACCCTAAGATTAGTATTTTTCAACAGTAAGACCTGATTGCTTTTGACTAACAGAACAGTGATTACAATCGGACTATCAACAATAAATGGCAATTTAGTTAGTTGTAAATATATTTGTAGAGTTTCATTTTTTGTCGTGTATTTAATGTAGGAACATTGACAATTGTGGTTGGAAAAATTGGTACTGGTAAATCATCTTTAGTGTCTGCAATTCTTGGGGAAATGAATACAATATCAGGAAGTGTAACATTTAATGGGTATGTACAGTTGAATAATAATTCTAGTATTATTGTATGTGTTCTTAGTGATGAATAATGAAAGCAATACAATGCCATGTCATAACCAAGAAATCAATGAATGGCCGGTTGCGACTAAAAATGTTTGACCGTGAAAGTGAAAAATATTGCATCTAAGTGGCACTTCTGGATTTACCTCAACGAAAAAAAGTAAAAAAAATATACCATTATAATCGTTTGAACGTTGTAATGAACACACACATATCATATAATATGAGGTTATTATCTGTAGTTTTGACAAGATACGTGTTAACATATTGGCTTTACGTATTGACATCTTTCATGCGTGAAAAACCCAAACATATTTGTTTTAATAAATATGATTAATAATACATGATTTCTAAACAAAATTATATAAATGATATTGTATGTTAACATAACAAGGTTTAATATCACTCAAACAGATATGACGGCTTCCCTGCAGACAAGAAAAGAATTCACGAAAAACAAAAATATTTTTGTCTTGGAAGTTCCACTTCCCTACTGTACACATCAAATGCACAAAAATTCCGAACTGAACGAGAAAACAGTCTATCTGCCGGAAGTTTCATTAAAATAAGATTTATTTAATTTTTCCAAATGCATTTTATAGAGAGTAAATGTGTATTTACTGTGAAAAGAATTTGTATGTCCTGTCCATACCAGCCAAGTGGACCCGGGCACATTATATATATTATTATATACAAAATATGCAGCAGAGCGCTCACATTTTACGTACTGCGAGAAATAATACAAGGCGGGAAATTCAAATCAGATTTACACTGTATTTAGTCACATGCTAAATAAGAGTTTTATTTATACAGGAGAGATAATCGAATAGCATATGTTGCCCAGAAGGCTTGGTTACAGAATGCGTCACTACGAGACAATATATTATTTGGAGAGACGTATGTTCGAGAGAGGTAAGATATTTTATATCATGAAAACTGCACGCATCCCATGGTCGCATTGCACGTATTTCAAAGTATACAACACATTGTTGTTTTGGGGGAAATAATGTTCTCCATGTCTGCGCATGTGTATAAGTATTTCCAACTAACTAAGAAAAAAAACACACGCTGTGTGAAAGCTTATGAAATATAACTCGTGCATTCTAGATACAACACTGTACTTCAGGTATGTGCATTGAATGCAGATTTACGTAGTTTCCCGGGAGGAGATATGACAGAAATCGGCGAGAGAGGTATCAACGTAAGTGGGGGTCAGAAACACAGAATCTGTTTGGCGAGAGCTTTGTACAGCAATACAGATGTAGTCATATTGGTGGGTATTCCATTTATTTTGTTAAATTGGCAATTGGCATATAACTTTTACAAATCATTATTGAAGATCATCACGAAATACATTACACCTAATATGTATGCTCCACGGTAGTTCCATGGCAACGGAAAATAGAAAAATATCTGTTATGTTTTTGAACAATACAATATCAAGGTTAATATGTATGTTGTACTAATGAACACCTTAATGAGAAAGACATTGTTGTCAACTGAAAATGAAACTGATGAATAATCTTTTTTATAGGACGACCCTTTATCAGCATTAGATGTTCACGTGAGTGCTCATGTAATGGAGAATGCAATATTAGGATACCTTCGTGAGCAACAGCGTACAGTTATACTTGTAACTCACAAGATTCAGTATCTAGAACATGCTAATCAAGTAAGTAATTTAAACAAAAATAAATGACGGAGAATTGAGAAGTTATAGTAGGCAGTGTTTTTAAGGGTGGTGGTAGTCGCGCTGCGCATGTGTGATATTTCCAATGCCCTCTTCTGAAGGAAATCACAAATATGAGTTTTGACCTTGGCACGACTTTCACTAATTACCGCCGGTGAATCTCTCGATACCCTCCAATCACCTAAAAAAATACCTAATTAAGGCTTTGTAACGGCTCAGTTTGTACTTGTTGATCTGCGCAAGAGTCTAAATCGCCATCTTTGTTTATTTGATACCCATAAATCTCGCGCATGCGTGGCGCCACGACTACCGCCTTTTAAATTAAATGTTCACTGGTAATGCGAGTTTGTGAAAATGTTTATACTGTGGTTCTCGCAAACGTACGATTCACTTATCAAATACATGAACTACGCGATGTACCGACGATATATGGTTATATGTTATATATTAAAAATTACCACATGCCCCAGTGTGGCGTCCATTCTGCCAACCGACACCTACACACGCACGGATGTTTAATAACCGAGCTTGTTCCACACTGAGAAGATGCAACTTAATACAATGTCAATTGAATGCATTCCAATTCTCAAATGTCTATAATTAAAAGAGGGCATTATATTTCACATTATCATTATCACAAACAATTTCAGTTCGAGGGTGAAACATAAGACTACATTGTGAATCTTGCTCGTGTTTGATTGAAGCTAACCTAGTCGCACAATCTCACCAATATTCCCACTTATTTTTACAAAAGCAGATTGGCTCTCATGAATTATAAATGCTATCACTTATTCCATGCGTTTTACTAAGCATTTGGTACCAATTTTGATCTATATTTTGTTAATTAGCCCCCGGTACTTTATAAATTGTCTATCTTTACCTTTTTCCCCAATATTTCACAAAATGTGGAAAAAGTATTTATATTTTCTCACTAACATATACCAATTATAAAGTGACTTGATTAAACAACTTTTTATTTCATAGTTACGCATTTTTACTCCCGTGTGCGAATCACTCAATCACTCTGTATGTGTGCATGCGTGTGAGTGTATCCGTCTGTTCCACTGATTTCTCAAGAACCATATGTTAGTTTTCGATGAAACCTGTTGAGCAGGTGTGCGTTTTGGTTAAATTCTGTGCATTTTAGTTACATAATTAGCGTGAAAATTGGCTAAGTTTTAGTTGTTCCATGACTGTTCCACTGACATTTGAAGAACCACTCATTGGATTTTGATGAAACTTCGTACATAGATAATCTGGACTGATGCACAGATTCAATAGGTATATCTTAATTTTGAAGTGATGTATGATTGCCAAACAAGAAGTGCTACATCAAGTTTAGGATTTCCCATTACCGATAATTGTATGTACAATTTTGATTCAGTGGCATTTTCAAATAATGAAACATCCATTTTACAATTGAAATAGGATGTATAAAGTTCATTCAATCTACAATCCAAAATGTTTATAAAGAACTTTAGAAAGTCTATTGAAAAAACTATAGACTTGGAATTTCGAATCATTTTTGGAATAAAGAATAATGAAAATCATTTTGTCATAATACTGTAAAGATACATACAGTTTTCAATAGAAGTAGAATGAATAAGAAATATTCACAACAAATCTATAATGAACTTCAGAAAAATCTATAGACATACTATAGACTTACTTGACTTGTGTGTTGTAGTCAATTTTTAAGTAAATACATTATAAAAATTATTGCAAGAGTAACCAGAATGAGGATGATTAAAATTTATTATAACCACTTTCCATAAATTAAAATAAAATTAAAAATCAAACATAGTAATTATTACGAGTAACCCCAGCCACAACACGTTTCCCTAACTTATATTTGTTTTCGAAGCTCACACAATATTTACTCAGTTCTATTTTTGATAATAGAAAATCTCTTGTCAAATTATATCATCACTCAGTGACTTCATGGTTAAAGATGATATTAAACAATACATTTTGTGAAAGTCGCATGATGATTCAATCCCATTTGGGAATCAGGAACTGTCAGTATTTATTTAAAAAAAAAACACCCATCAGCAAAAAGCTTTCCTCGTGTGAAATACCTCAAAACCGAAACCTACAAAGAAAACCTAAAACTCAAAAAAGGGTTGGTGAACAACTGCTTGCTTGCTGGTCAGAATGCCTAGTTGAACTGAAACACAGATCAGATCGAGCAGCAAAAATAGCTCTCAATGTGAAGATCTCAATGTGCATCGTAAAAAAACAAAGGCAGCAATGACATCTGAAACAAAGATAGTGACAGGAAGTCATCAATGCCCAAATTACATTTGCATGAACTAACTTAGGATGAGATCATCATTACTTGCATTCGGATTATATTCTCTGATGAATTTACCAAATCTTGAAATCGCTCTCATGTTAGATCTTTAATGGGCAAAACATTGCCCGCCATTGCGTCATCGCGCGATTCGCTTCCTTCGACATGTTGATCTCCTGCGGCAAAACTTGTAATCGTCTTTTGGTCGCCAGCTTTCCTCTCCTTATTATTTTCTTTAATGAAAAGTACCCCCCCCCCCCCGTTGTATTCCTAATCCATACTAAGTGCAGCAGAAACATTGGAAACATAACCTTTTCACCATTTTAAAGCAATGTTTTCATTCGAGTTAAACAATAAACAACTATGTTCAAACGATTCAAACTGAATAACCACATTTACCAATATATGCCAAGTTACCATACAAATACTGTTGCAACGGTCGTTCCCGTTTGTGTGTACTAGTAAACGGATAAGACAAACATTATATATCCCACAAGTTATTCCGTTCACTCGGCCGCAGTTCCAAGTCGAAATTTGTGTTTCAAATGAAGCTGTTTATATATGGTAAATAGGGTATTTGCGGTAAACTATTAATACCACGCTTGATTTGTTATGACGTTTCAAAATTTACATTCTCACTCGTTGCTTGTGAAATTATTGAACACCAAAACCGGTTACACAACGCAATATTTTTTAGTTGCCCACAAATAACCGCTAAATATTTAGTGTCAAATCTCCAATTTAATGTCGTGGTTCTTTTTATAACTATATTGTGGTTTCCCAGGTTTTGGTCATGGAAAATGGTCAAATAATAAAGAAAGGGAATTTATGTGAAATACGAAGGCATAACATTGAGATGTACAGACAATGGGAAGAATTAATTTCAACTATTTCTGAATATGAAAATGAGAATGAACTGGTTACAAAAAGGGACCAAGACTTATATTCAGAGGATCTTAAAGCATCCAAACATCGTAAGTGTATTTTCAATAGAAAAATTGCAAGTGGGGATAAGTCATGAGTACTTAAAGTAATGTTATATCATCATAAATACAGAACAGACAACCAAGAATGTTCGTATCATTGGTACACGTTTAAATTAACCACTACAGTATTGATACACAAATTATTAGAAGTACGAATATTTGGTTCACACGACGTGCATTATTTTATTATGATCAACAAGTTGCATGTTTAAGGTAGATATATATTTTAAAAATATTACAGGAAGTTGTGAATACATTGTTTACTAATTGTGCTCAGTAATGGCAATCTCGCAATGGTTTAACATATAAGATACATTCATTCACGTGTTCCTGACAACGGCTGCAGCCATTGGTCGATATCTGCCAAGCGAGACCCCTCACACACACACACACACACACACACACACACACACACACAGAATTACGATCCTTTCATAGCAGTATGATCGCTTCTCGTGTTGATATATTCTAATCGACATATATAAACTGAAACGAAAAGGAAAATCTAACAGCACTGTCATATAACACAGATTAAAATAGCGAGAGTGAGTAACCCTGAGTCAACGCCCTCTTAGTGACTAATATACATTGCACCCATCCTGTGAAACATGAACCAAGCCCATACAAGTGTTCAATGATCATATAATTCATTAACGTATACGCAAATAACTATCTAGTATGTCTTTTTTTTTCAAGCCACTCTTGTTGAAGATGAAAGCTCACCAGTTGGTGTTGGATGGTATATGGTCTATTTGTATCTCCGGGCTCTGAAATTACCACGTGTAGGCGTTCTTGTGCTTGTGATACTCCTGAAAATTGTCACTTACGTATTCCTTAATATGTGGATATCCAACTGGTCACAAGCTGGCCAGGACAGTCTCAATAAGACCAAGGTGTGTAATTATCCCTAAAACATGCCATAACACATGAAAAGATCTGTCACAAAACATTATGTAATCTAACTATTATTAGTGAATATTATTTTAATGTCGGCCATCGAAGTGTCGCTTCCAAATAAACCTCTCCTTGTTCTATTGGACTTAGTCGTCCTTCCTTCTTTATTGTATATTTTGAAAACTTCTTGAATATTTGTTATTTCTATTATATGCTCATCACTTTTCACTATAAAATACTGTAATACTACTTTTTGGTTCATCTGTATTGTTTGATAAGTCCGCTAACTTTCATTAGAAAAGAGCTTTTGTTCAGTGTCTACTGTGGCCCCATCGTGGGGTAGAGTGACAATTCCTTCACACAGACGGTTAATTTTGGAATCTGTTTGAATTTAGGGCCATATGGGAACAAGATCGTGCTTGCAAAAGCTTACGGGATTACATAGCTTTATTTCAAGGGAAAATAACATTGACCGTTGGTTATATTACACCACAAATTTAGTGAGTTTCACTAGTTTGTGTAGTCGATTTCACCAAAGTTTCGTGAATTGTTTACAAACCTACGATGTACTTGACATAATGCATGTGTAATCACAGGTCACAGGACACTCTCACAGACGTTAGAGAACCGAACGCACATTATGATAGAAAAACGGTCATATGCGGCTGATGTAACAAATAAACGCGGATAGCTTGTAACAAAGAAACTGACCGATTCTGAAAAAAATCGTTCGACAGTAGATGTGACAGTACTCAAATCACTGCCTAATTTCGAAAGTACACATCCGTTATTGGCTTACTAGGAATTTTATACCGTGTCACATTCACAGTGTAGCAATAAATATTTATCAGCTGATTATGCACTGTGAATTATCCACCTGTAATAACTTAATGAATAAATATTTGAAACAAAGCCCGACACAATTATTCGAACATGTTTTGTCAGCACAAACTCCAGTTTTCCCCCGACAGGAAGTGGGTCAGAATTTGCATGGTTTGTTTCTCCGTAAAAAGAAACGAGAAAAAGAAATAAAATTATTCAAATCCCATGATTTGATATATTGTATGCCGGACAATGCACTCGTAGTCATCGTTCATGATCAGATATTGAATTTTCCTTTGGATTTGTGGCCTTCAATACTTGAACGACTCACATTTGTACAATGTACCATCTTTTGGGGTCTGTTTTGGAGTCTTTATTGAAAGTTTATTCTACCCTCGACCTCAGGCCATTAACTACCCTCAGCGTCCTCATAACCGTCCTTTAACGATCATATAATGTTTATGCCATTTATTTAATGTAATTCAATGTGACAACCATATCAACAATTTATTGATTTCTTTAAAGGTTGAACAAGAGATGGTGGTTACATATTATCTGCCACGATGTAGTATCGTCATATGTCTATACATCATGATGAACGCCATAACGAATGCATGTTTATTTATATTCTGCATATCAGCGGCAAAGAGGTTATTTAATCAATTGTTATATAATGTTATATATTCACCAATAAGATTCTTTGAAACAACACCTGTGGGTCGTCTTCTCAATAGATTCTCTGCTGATGTGCGTTCAGTAGATCAAGTAAGTATCGCATACATTTTTGCATGTTGTGCTATTGTGGTTACCCCCGCGTTGTATGATGTTCAAATTTAAATTTCACCTACCTCAAAAAGGGTCGGTCTCATCCCAAGATCTAAACACTATGCTGACTATTAATATTATTATTTATTTGATTACAGACAGGGTCCATATAAAAATAACTTACAAAACAATAAGAGAAAGGAAAATAGAGTAATATTAAATCACTGCCATATTACAAAGACATTAAAAATTATAACTTGTACTTTTATTTGTTTTTCTTCTAGTCATTTTGGGAATGTCTACATATCTTATTGGGTGCTATTACAGTACTTGCTGGGACATATGTAGTCAATGCTATTATATCTCCCTATTCCATTCTTCTAATGATACCCGTTGGAGTGATATCAGTAGTATATATTATCATCTGCTCCCGCTTACCACGGTCAGTATGTATATATAACTTTTCCCCGTCAAATGGATTTCAGAGAAATAAACAAATTCAGTATTTGATTAATCTATAAACAATACTCGTGTTGCTGGGGTGGCAATATAGCGAACCACAATTTCCCGTCATAACGTTTCAGTCAAATGTTTTAATCCACCAATAAGATGATTCATTTATGAATAATTTGCTCGTAATGCCGGGTGGGGCAATATACTTTTTCAGAGACCTGAAACGATTGGAGAACATCACTTTATCACCAGTTTTGTCATTATTTGGTGAAACGTGTACAGGTCTGTCTACGATAAGAGCAATCAGGTAAATATATAGTATATTTTAATCATACAGCAGTATATAGTTGTTATTAATTGAGTGAGAAAGTGATATCGCATTTATTCGAGAAACACAGACATCGGTTGTCATTCTGTGCTCGTCTCAAAGATTCTTGGATTATTTTATCTGATTTGTTGTTCATAAATTGAGCTCAGTTTACCAACAACTTGTCACATCTTGTTGGAAATTGGCAACTGGTACATTCGAAAAACAAATCCTGGGCTTCAAAATTAAGACCGATTTTCAAGTATTTAACAATATGCAATTATTAATATCATAAACTAAATGCAAAATATGTGTAATTTTGACCAAACTAAGCATAACAAATTCGGGCTGATGAAATAGTTTAGTATTCATTTTTCGTGGATTGAATCAAATGAAATCAATTTTCCCTTTAACCTACTTATTCTCAGTCATAATAATAATAATAAGTAATGTATCATGACTTCACTTAATGTCGATAAAGCGGATGTGTCAGGAGGGCTAATATATGCAAATGAAAAAAATGGTTGCAGCAATCAGCCAGCATATGTGATGTGTTCACACAATTTATTCATGAAATGTCTAAATGTTTGTTATATACTATTTATAGGGCGAACAAGAGATTCACGGAGCATATGTTAGAAACAATAAATATAAATAATTTATGCAGATTATACTATGCTGCCGCAATGAATTGGTTCAATTTGAGGGTTGTAAGTACTACAGTTTCTTTGTTTATACAAACTAGTGTTGATACTCGTGTTATCTTACATCAACATGTTTTGAATGTGTTATATTTTTTAGTACCTTACCCAACCCTTATATTCTGTGGTATTATATTACGTTTATCACGTTTTAGATTGATTGAGAAAAACATTAAACCAATTTAATCTTTAATTTTTGTTTTCATAGAACACTATTGGCGCATTCTTGTTTTTAATTTTTGGAATTGGTGCTTTATTAA